TTGTTGTTGTTATTATTGTTGTATTATTGTTATTTATAATTTATACAATTAACCTCCCCGTGGTTTGACCCCAATCTTACTAGGTTATTTATTACTTCAATACTCCTGCACTTGGGAGAAGATATCAATCTTTTAATCCTGTCATAATATGTAAGACATATTTGGAAAAAAAAAAAAGTTCATAAAAACCATAGTTTCTATGCTAATTAATTGACCGGTTCAAACAACTAGATTAACCAGTCAACCATTTAGCCAAAGGATTGATAGTTAGGCTACTACCTTTCTTATCCTCAAAATCTAGATCTAACAAAAAAAAAACTTCATGAGATTTATTATTTACTTAATCTGACATTTAATTTAGTGAATGATTTTAGAGAGTTAAAAAATTTATAATTTTAACAAAATTTGAGCAGAGTTTTTCCTATATAAAAACTATACCAAAATTTTATCCTACTTAAAAAAATATACAAAACCACAATAACCAAACTCAATAAATTCTCACCACATTTAACAAACTCTCACATTTCATAATCACAAGTAGCCCTAGGAATGTAAAAACAAAAACATATATAACATGAAAAATGAATATAAAATACTTCAATAATACAATATTCAAGTAATTAAAATCTCATTATATATAAATATAATTAATTTATCTACATCTACATCATCTATTAGATGATTCAAGCTCATTAGTAGCACGAATGAATCCAGCTTTTGCACCTGCCTGAGTAGCCTAGTCCTCTATCACGACATCATCAAGAGATTAACATCTTTCTAAAGATTTCAAATCCAGTGTGGCAAACATTGAACCATTAGGACACATAAGTGTAACTTTCATTTTCTTCATCAATATTACAAAGCACTAATGCGATCTCTCGATCCTCTTATAACATGAAGTTAACGTAATATTAATAAAACATTAATGTTAAATAAAATATCAATACATAAAACCTAAATTTTAACATACTTACAATATTCTGAATCTATTGGGCATATTGCTCCTACTACATGTACCTAGTATAAGAATCTACTTAGGATTCAGAGTAATGACCTGACGTGTGAAACCCATATACCAAATCAAATACTCTTTATCTATAATCACAAGTTGCATATCTGTAAATATATCATTTCTTCGTGCATCCTATTATGGTACATAAGCTCCATGGTGGCTTAACCAATCATAATCATCATTTTTACCCCAACGAGTTATGGCATTCAAAGTATCACTCATATCAATGTCAATTGGAATGTGCTATTTATAGATGAACTAGTGCATTACTTGATTTGGGCAATGTAGTTCAACCATCTCAAAAAATATTAGAGAGGCCACTAATATTTATATATCCATCTTGTTGGTGCAAATAGCTGGAACAATCATCAATCTTTCCTTCTTATGAAGCGTCCACATGACCTTTATAATAGAAGTTTTTTAAATACCAAACAGATACAATTTGGTGGAGTCATGTTTTTTATTTAAAAAATGACTAAAATACCTAGATAACATGCTATTTATCTAGCTCCCTTTAATAAAATATCAATACATGTGTTAAATTATTTTCAAATACTCTACTAGCACACCACCAC